AGATTTACAGCCTGTGGACAAGCCAGGAGAAAAAGAGCTTTGCTGACTAGCAAACAGGAACCCAGACTTGTTTCACAGCATTAGTGTGAGTTGGAGAGTCATAGCTGGCCTCACAGAATTATACTCTTTTCAAATTAATCACTCTGCTGGTTTTGGCTGGGATAGAGCTAATTTTCTTCATAGTAGCTAGCGTGGGGCTATGTTTGGAAACCACGACAACCGCCTTCATTCAAATGTCAACTACAAATCCATGCAGTGATGGTAAAGCAAATATTCTGGTTTTTAAAATTCTGCACCAGAAAGTTTGTAATATGGTTTAACCAGAGGTTCCTGCTAAACTTCATACTCAATTGCAGAGTTGTGCCTTCCACTTCCTCGCATATCCCCTCACATTTGATACAACCAACACACAGTACACCAAAATGCTCATAGCCGGAAACCCATCCTCCAACATGTAGAACATGAGTGTATCGCAACATCTTAAAAGCACTAGTTCTTGCCGGGACTGTGCAATACCTTTTCCCCCTCCCTCTTTAAACAAACTCCTCCTTGATGTTGCATATTCTCCAGTCTTCTCCCAGCCTGACCTTGATTCTAAAGCCTGCATGTATTTATGCGTAAGATCTCACAGCTCTTAAGAGTCCTATTTATTTCAGTCCCATTTCTATGTTCCTCTTTGTCCAGCAACCCTTCACAGTTCTCCCTGCCAGTCTTTTTGCCAGCAAGTTGCAATGTCTGTCAACATCCTGACCCCTCTTTGCACTGTGGTGCCCCCACCACAGCTTTATAATGTCTCTTTTTCACAGAAATTTTTTTTCTCCACCACAGCTACTCTCAGCTAAAGCTATTCCTTCTGGCAAAAAAAAACAGTCTACAGCTGGACTGACATAATCCTTCAGCTGTACCTACAGAGTCTATATTACCACTGTGTACCACACACCAGAAACAATTTATGTACCCAAGAGCCAAAAAGCTTTCAGAACAATTGTTATTGGACTGAGGGTCTTTTTGATGAAGTATTACATAGGAGAGGCAAAGGTAATAAACAGAGAGCACTGAACAGAAATACACTGAGGATAAATTCTGCTTTGCCTGATTCGTCGCCTTTCTTCCTCAGCTTTCTACTGCCCTGACCTGCCAAATTCCTGGGATCCAGATGGAATTCTACTGCAAATAAGTTGTTAGGAGTTGAAAAGTGTGCCCATTACCAGGAATTGAAAGGGTAAGAGTTAAATTGATTAACTGCACACATTATTTGTATTACTACAGTTAGGATTATTCATTGTATTAAGATAGAGCCTAAAAGCCTTCTGTTTTGCCCTCTCTACAAGCCCAGAATAACCCTCCCAGTGTTTTCACCAGAGATCTTGTAATCTAAACATAAAGAGACAAGAAATAGGATACTTAGAGAAAACAATGAAAAAAGATAAGTGTGATAGGAAGAGATTTCAAGGACATCAGCAGTCTAACTGTTGTCAACTCATGTAGCAACATAACAGAAGAGTTTTAAGAAGGGATGCTTTGGGAATAGTAAAAGCCCAAGCTTCAAACAAAGCATGGGGAAAAGTTTAAAAAGAATGGCTGAAAAATTAGCAAGTGAGCAATGAAAGCTGGAGTTTAATGAGGATACAAAGTAGCTCCATAATGAGAGTCAATACAGAAAGTATGTACAGATGATGAGACAGAAGAAAGGCCAGTTGGAAGGGAGATGCTTTTGTGAGGTATTAAGTATTCTTACTACTATTTTTTCTGGCCTACTATGGATGAAGATAAGAACTGCAGTTTTATGGATTTACATTTATAGAAGATTGAGTATGTGAACTCATACAGAACATTATGCTATTTCTAGTTTGACTTTGCAAAAAAGCCCAAACTGAGTTTATAGTATGAATATTTATCACTATTGTACTTTATATAATATATACATAGATTTATACATAAGGTTGGAATTCTTAGTATCAAATCAATTATATGGAATTTTACTGACTAGAATGAATACAATCTACGTGTGAAATATTTATTGGAAAGCACTAGTAAATGTAAATTAATTTGATATTTCTATTAGATATTCTGATTACTGTCATTCCACTGGCATATCTCTTTCAGAGGAGAAACAGATAAATTTAGAATTCAAAATATTATCAGTAACTCTCCTTCTAGTCTCACTATTTGTTTCTTTTGGTTAATCTTATTCTTTGTCAATCAAGTTAAAACAATGACTCAAAAGGGAGATGCCTTGGCATGTGTATCCATTATTCCTTCTACAATGTAGTACTCCCACTGGTTTTCATGGGAATTATGCATATGAAAGGACTGCATTATTAGGCCAGATTATGAGAAGACATTTGGAAATACTTAACCCATCATACTACTTCAGAACCTAATATTTATAATGGTACTTAAGCCTGGAACAATATAAATAAAAGCACAAAATACGACTCCTGGAAATATATCGTGGATGATTTTTTCTTAACTTTTTATTAGGGATATCACTAGAAGTTGCACTGAGTTAAAACTTTCCATGGCTTTTTGATAGAAGAACACATACACAAATATGAATCAGATGACTCCAAAAAACTTGAAGTATTCCTAAACATGGCAAGTTACAAGCCAGTAAGAGGACAGTAAACGGTTTACATTCCAAATATATTAATTAGATGCTTGTCTAATCACATAAAGGTCCTTACAATATTTTTGGTAGTCACTATGTCTTCACAACCAGATTATATTAACCCTGATCCCCTAGAACCATCACAAGTCATCTTTAATTCTTCAGACACATGACTCTTCCATTTTGGCTTCGGAAGTGTTCTCCTCCCATGCCATGACAACTGATGGACAGTATGAACTGTTTTCCTCTGACCTAGGAATGTATTGGGCCCTTTCTTCCTCAGTGCTAAAAATAAATTGACCTCCACTTTACTCTAACAGACTTGGAAGACAACAGTTTGCTCTTTCCCAGATCCATAGCTCAGATGTAGAACCAGTCTGCTAGGCTAGTTAGAATGGGCTAACTTTCTAGTCTTTATTTATCTAAAACATTTTGTTCATCTTTGATGCACAGTTAACCTTGGACCTTAATTTCTGGTTACCACTAACAACCCTTGCCACCTTCATAAAAAAGTTTTCTTACCTGACTTTTCTAGCGCCTCAAATTTGGATTGTCCAGTCTGGCTGGGGTTATGTGGAAAAATTCAGATCTTAACTTATTCTGGCCACCCAAGCTGCTTTACAACAGGCACAGGCTAAAATTTTGACTCTCCAATAGTGCTTCTACACCTTGAAACAATCGTCTGAGGATTGAACACTTCAGATATTCTTTTCAATATGATGGCTCTCATCCAGACATCACTAATCAGGTCAGTCACAAGCACTTACCATGAGAAGAACACTGTGAAAACATGATTAAGAATCTCAAAAACTTAAAAGTCTGCTGCAAAGCGGAAAACAAATTCCCTGTAACCACTGTGCAAAAAGTAATAGGTTCAAGTAATTTGCTTTCAGCAAGTTAAGTTTAAGATCAGAAAGCAGGAAAATCTTCCTAGTGGGAAAAACAGTCTAATGCTGGGATAACTTGGGAAAGTAATCATCACAAATCTTTATGAAGACAGGCAAGCATTCATTAAAAAAAGACAGATTTTATTGATCCTGGCTTTGAAGGAAGAGTAAGGGGATGGGCACAAGGCCTTCTTGGAGCTCTTTTCAACATGACCAAAGAAATGTAGCTATGTAGCGACAGTGATATTACAGCAGCACTTGCTGTGGAATCTGGAGTTGGAATGAAAGTCATACCCTGCAAAAGACTCTATCAATTTCTTAATGTAGACAATCACTTGGATTCTGATACAATCATCTAGTTATTGATCACCTAGCTACTACACTGATCTAGTCTGCACCATCTTTATTCAACAGTTTAACAATAATTACTCTCAGGGCTGGACTATACATAAACATAATATGTAATCCAGTCACAATATATAGCACTTTGAATTACTTAGTAACTTGTCCAATGGCCTTAAGGCCAGACAACACTAGCAACAGCTGGTAATAACACCAAATTCCAGATGTAGTCTTTGGTGAAATGTTTTTGAAGGAATTAACTTTAAAATATTTTGCTTCAAAAATCTAGATGTACTCAAAATTCTTAATCCCATATCTGTACTTGACCAATAAATTGGGAACTTTAGTGGGTTTTTTTAAACCCAAAACTTTTATTGGCACATCATCTTTAAGAATTAGAATCTCAATCCTGTAAAAAGTGCACAAGACCATGTTTATTTCAGAGTATTCTTTGGAGACTTAACACAAAATAAGTAAATAACCATCTCTTGTCAGATATTTTGTTTCCAGTAAAAATTTATGATTGGTCTAATGTGAGAACACAGGACAAATGTACAGCTGCCAGTCTGACTAGTGACTAGGTATGGAAAAAGTAACATTTTCCAACTTATTTTCAATATTCTTGTCTTTTATTCTATAATCAGCAGCGTATACAAGTAGGAAAGTTACATAACCATGCATATCCCCTACATTTAAATCACGTGATGTAACACCAGGTAAATGATCCAAGGAAAAAAAGAACAAACCAGCATTATGAGTCACCTTTCGGATGGTGAGAACTGTTAAAAAAGTAACACGTTTTCTCAAATGTGTTTACATTAAAGACCGTGACAGCTGAAATAGGTGCAGCAATATAGCAAGCATCAGGTGTTCTCAAAGTTTCTACAAATAACAAAGTAGCTCCCATTCAAAACATCGTAATTTGACAACATAACAAACGCCTGAGTTTCAGCTAAAATCCTTTAAAATACATTTAATCTCTCCTATAGATGATTGCTCTCTGATGGTGTGTTCATTACTTGCCCTTTTCACAACCTTTAGAAAGAGACCCACATCGCAACTCCACCTCCACCCTCTGATCAGTAAAGTTGCCAAAACCAGGGTTCCAAAGCGAAATGAGCCCCCGGTTTGCCCCCCTGGGCTGTCCGCATCGTACTCACCATGGCGGGCTAGTTTTGAAGACTTTCTTCCCCTCCCCCTGCACCTACGCACAATGAGGGAGAACGGAGAGCAGTTTCAGCATTAAATTTGAACTTCCTTGCTTTTGTTAGCATGAGTCACCACCTTAACATTATCTCAACTGTAGACTTTTATCTGTGAATATCTAAGCCCTGTCTTGTGGAAAACTAATTACTGAGCCACTGAGAGGCTTCATAATGTCCTGCATTTAAGTCCTGAACATCATACATAATGCATAGGAAGCAGTCTCTGCACTCTGATTACAGAACACTGTCATTAAGAGAGCAAATTAAAGATGTGAATAATTCACTGGCTGAGCTTATTGTCAGTGCTGCATTGTGAAATTAGAATTTCTAATAAGTACTGCAATTTTTTTAACCCAATTAACACAGAGAACATCTTGAGTCTGATTAGTACAATAAAAATTATTACCTTATTCTTTTGCTTCACAACAGCCAAATTAAATACTGTACTTAATTATGCAGCATTCATCGCTTCTGTGCTAGAAATAATAATAAAAAAATCTCACTATCGCTTTAATAAGACTTCCAATATTTAGAGTGCAACTGAAAAATAGAGCATATGAATCTGCAGCACAATTTCTTATCACAAAGTTACTGGCCTTTTTTTTTCTTTTTTTTTTTTTTCCCTTAAGACTTTGAAAATCGGTCTTAATATCAGCAGTCGACCATGATGTCACTGCTGAAGTCTTCTCTGGAAACAAAAACGTATTCAGAAAAAAAAACACAAAATGACCCTTCCGAACAAGCTCTGAATATATATTGTGAATTAACTTTCTCTGGGTTGATGTGAAGACAGAAAAAAAAAAAAAAAAAAAAAAAAAAAAACAACAAAGCCTACACATTACCACTTACTGATTTGAAACCGACACAGATATACAAACACAGACATATATAAATGTACATATACATATATATACACAGGCCGTTTCAGAAAAGATGGTTAGGAAATATACTATGAAAAAGCAGAAGCTGGATCAGCTCTCTTACCTCAGTTCCCTCTTGGCACGGGATAGATAACATCCTTTCATCCTAGAAAGGAGAAAAGTCCAATTCAACATCCAGCATGTTGATTTTCCCCCACACGGCGCCTGCTGCCATGTTAAATAAAGAAAATGATCACTGAGGATGCAGCTTTTGTCTCCAAATATTTTAATACTGCCTTTTAGTGTCAAGGACCCCAGGAACCTTAGCACATCTGGCAGCAGACACCACTGGCTGCAGCTGCAGCAATGGGATTTTTCTTGAACCCTATTTCATTTCCAGCTCCTTTTTCTTCCCTATCCTGGGGAAGTTTAATCACTGAGCATGGGTGGGGAAAAAAATAAAGAAAAAAAAAAAAAAAAGGTGGCATTGCAATCACGAGCTTTCTTGGTTTTGTCCTGGAGATAGGGACTGCAGCAACACCTTGCATCTTTGTCTCGTTATTTTAGCATGTGCGTGCAAGAGGGGAGGGAAAAAAAAAAAAAAAAAAAAAAAAAAAAGATGAAAATTATTCAGGCATAATGCAATAGACATAAAGAGAGACGAAAAGACAGAGAGGAAGAGAAAGAGAGGAAGAGAAAGAGGGAAAGGGAGGGAGAGAGGAAACAGACTAAGAGAGGGAGAGGGGGCTGTCAGTGCAGATAAATCTGCATATGGAAATCAGGGTTATCCTGGGTACAGTTTTATTTAACCATGATGTACTGTTTTTTTAATTAGACAGGAATTTAAAGAAGGAAATGAGGGATTCTTACAGACACAGGAGCAAACGAAGCATTTTTAATCACCGGAGAGTTTTCACAGCAAGCTGTAGCAGCAAGAGCAAAACTTTTTATAGCAACTTTCTTGTTAGAAACAAAAGTTTCATGCACTGCTGTTAAATTACACCCCAAAACCAAGCAAAACCAGAAGCGCAATCATTTTAAAATTAAATCAAGCCAAGGCAATCCAAAATAATAATAGTTTTTTAAAAAGAGCCAGAAGCATCTAGGTGCACAGTATGCATTTTAAGCTACATTATGCCAGGCACAGGTTTTAGGACTTTCTCCCCTGGCCCCTATTCTGTGGTGACTGTCATACCCAACGAAGGTGCTTCAGTAGATGAAAAGAGCAATACCCGGCTGGAATTTCAAATGTATTAAGCACCACTTCCCACGCTTGATGAGAATTGCTTGTGTCTCGACAGCAGTACCTGACAGACAGGAGGTTGGATCGGGGTCTGTGAGGCATCAAAGAGCAGGACCTCTCGCCCATGGCTGTGAGGGAGCGTGGGGGTGCGTGAACTGAGGATGCAGAGGAGAAGAAGGAAAATGAGGTTCAGGTACAGGCTAGGTGAGAAGGAAACCAAAGAAAGGTAGCGGACCGTTTAAGTACAAGATTAGGAAGCAGCAGTCTGGTCTGGGGCACTTACTAGCAGTGGCAAGATGGTGGCGTTCAGGTGAGAGGAGATCAGAAACCACTTGCGCCGGCTGGCCAGGCAAGGGACGCCTAGCAAAGCAAAGTTGGGGACTTGGGCGCCCTGAGGGGAGCTGCCAGAGTGCTACGGACTGGGGCGGGAGGAGGTGGGGATGGGGGGGGGGGCAGCAGGAAATCCCACCTAAATGTCCCGAAGCGAGCAAGAGGCACACTGGGAACTGACAGGGGCTGTAAAGGCGGCCACAGCAGGAGAGGCGGAAGGCGCTCCCGGGGTGGTGGCGGGGGGAGGAGGCAGCAGCTCAGCCCGAGGGGATCGCGGCGGCCGCCGGCTCGCAGGGGCAGGACGGGGGCGGCGGCCGCCCCGCTGCCGCGCAGCCGCCTCGCGGGCGGCGGTTGGGGGCGCGCGCGGCGCTTCGCCCTGCGGCGGGCGGGGGCGGGGGCGGGGGCGGGAGGAGAAGGAGAGGCGAGGGGCGGGCGCGCGCCCCCCCCCCCCGCCCCCCGCCCCCCGCTGCCGCGCGGGGCGGGGCGGGGCGAGGCGGCGGCCAATCGGCGCCGCGGCGCTTGCGCGGTGCCGGGCTGCCCGTGGCGCGCGGGACGGACGGAAAAGTGTCCGGGCGCGGAAGGCGAGCGGCGCTTCCGCCGGCGCGTAGGTACCCGCCGCTCCCCCCTCCCGTACCCCCTCCCGTCCCGCTGCAGGCCCCCCACCCCCCCACCCCCCCCCCAGTCCCTCCCGGCGGGGCCCGGCCCGGGGGAAGCGCCGCTGGGCCGCTCGTGTCACGGGTGGGGGGCGTCGCGTTCGTGGCCGCCCCCCGGCGCGTCGCGGCCACCTGGGACGTTCTCCGGCGTGGGCGGCCGGGAGGTTGCGGTGCTTGAAGTCGGTAATTGGTTCCGCCGGATCGGGGTTGGGACGGAGCAAGTACGGAACTGGCGTGAGTCGCGACCGTGAAGAGCTGTCCTCTCTGTAATTTTTTTTTTCCCCAGTGTTTTCTATCGTGTGGGGCGATTCTGATACCCTAAAGTGAACAGGCTTTCCTTGGAAACTCTTCTGAGTTAGGGCATTCCCTCAAGCTGCTTAATTCTGCCTTGCCAGCTGTGCATAAGCTCCTGCTGTAAACTGAAGCACTGAAGTCCCTTTTTCACTTAGGAAAAAGCTTCTGCTGCGCAGCCGAAGGCCCCGCAGGAATGGGAACGAATGGGGGGGAAGTAGGACAGAATTTTTTTTTTTTTTTTTTTAACTTGAGCTCATTTTTCAGTCAAGCTTCTGTATTACCAACATCTAGCCACTGGTTTCTGCAAGAACGGCATCAAAAACTGCCGGCAATGAGATTGAACACTTAATTTAGAGTTTTAATTATATTGTTTGCATATTACTGTAAAAGTCTGTGACACCTGTTGTCTAGTTTTACTCTTTCAGTATGTTGTATAAAATACTAATTTACAATGTTAAATATAAAGTGAACTTCTTTTGGTCATGATCTTCCTTCTCATTTGCTTTTGGGTTTTTGTTTTGGGTTTTTTTTTTTTTTTTCAGACTTCTGGGAAGTCTGACTTTTTAAATATGAACTTACAACTTAAGCTATATCAGAATCAGTCATACACTAATTTTCTGAACTTGAAAACTGTAGCATTTCAGGGTTCCATAATTATCAGGCGGGGTGTATTTACTGCTTCTTAGAAGGAACTTGAGCTGGAATGTTTCCTTAAAGTCATGGACAGCTGGGAGCCTGTAATGCATGATGTATTTTCATAGCATAGCTACTCTGGTTGCAAAATGAAGTCTTGCTGGAAGTAGCTTGCCCATGCCTTCTAATGCATTCCTGCCTCTTATTTTATCCTAGTGCTAGTTTAACCTCATGACTAATCAATTTATAAAGCGAAACTAGAAGGAAAAGAACCTATTTTGGTTTTATTGTAGTCACTGATGTGTCTTCTTGAGCAGGTTGTGACAGAGGAAGGTAAGGTTGCACAACGCATCAGAGTTGTGTGGCAGGGCATGAGACTGTGATTGTCTTTCTTGGTGGTATGTCTGTTTGTTAGTTTGATATTACCGTTAGTCAGATCTGTGTCCTCACTTGATCTGAGGAATTATGGGGGGGGTCGTAACAATGAGAAATTCATTTGAAGAAACACTGAGTGTTATTTAATTTATCTATTATTTATCTATTTATTTATTTTCTGGATCAGGTGGAAACAATGGACGATGATTTTGCAGCTTCTTCTACACCCCCATTCCTCACTGAAAGCTTGGAGTTGGCAATGGAAATGGAGAATGAGAACTCAAAGCCACTGTGTTTTTCCTGTGCTTTTGACAATCAAAATGGAGGGCGAAACTTCTCTACAGAGTCTTATTTAGCAAGTGGGTCTCTTAAGAGGTATGGGGCTTTTTTGAGTTACAAATATAATACCCTTCCAAGATGTTATTTCCACTGGTGTTTGGTGCCTCTAGATGCTGACAGGGCTTCCGAATCAGTTTATTCTTCAGCCCTTATGATCCTGAGATCAACTTAGTGGTATACCAAAGTGGGAAGGGCAGTTGTGTTGATACACTGCTTTGAATGGTGTTCTAGGTCCGGTTCCTAGTGTTGTGAACTTCCTTTAAGATATTGTAAAGGACCTGCTACAGGCCTGTTGGGACACTTCAAAACTGGCCTGCTGGGCAACAGCATCCAAGACCCCTTAAATTTCTGAGGTGGCTGCAGCACTGCTTTTTCCAGTCATACACTATTCACTGCTGGCCCCTTCCTTCCCATGTGCTAGAAACAAACCTGCTCTCCCAGCTTCCACAGATCTCTGGGACTGTCCTTTGTAGCTTTAAGACCATCTTTTTCAAAGCTCTGCCTTTTCATGCACTCTGGATTTAAAGTTCAGAAGTTGCATGCATAAGGAGTAAGTATTTTTAGTGTGATTATAAAATGTTACTTTGGTTTAGTTTGTATCTTTACTGTCTGTGACCCAGCTTAGTTTTCTGTGCCATTTACTGATCCGTCAGGGGTTGTCTTGTTTTTCCTATAAAAGCATAATCTTTCAGCCTGTCCTCTTGCCAAGCCTCATATATTGTGTTGTTACTTTGGGTTTTTTTTTAACCTTCATTTCCTCAGCCTTTACAGAAAAGCCTTAAAGACGGTTCCAGGGCACCTTGCTCATTCCCTACTTTATTTATTTTGTTGTTGTTGTTGTATCAAATCACATTCATTTCAATTGCTGTCAAGTAGAAGATTGAGAGAGCCTGCGTCTACATGAACATATTTGTAGTGGATTCCACACTGGCAAAGAAGCATTTCATGACAAAAACAATATCATGTGAAAACTCTCACTCAGGAACTTGTACGTAGACAGGTTTCCCAGATCACTACAGTCCTGATAATACTGTTCTCCTGTCACCTTGTCTACTTGGATTGTAAATTATTGGAAAAGCCTGCATGTGAGGGACTCCTTCATTATCTGAAACAGGAGTAAATGGATTTAATTGCTAAAGGCGTCAAAACAGACCAATGTTTAGGCAGTTACCAAGTGAACTACGGGTGTTATGGGGAATTGAGCTGATTATTCAGCAGATGCTTTTTTTGCCTCTGAGAACTGAATTGGTAATAGTGCATAGTTCAAGAAGAATATGGATTAAGTGTGTAATGTAATGAAAACCAAGTACTTGCCCAGTACATTTTTTTATTTTAAAAAATATAAATATTTCTTGCATATTGGTGAATTCAACTTTATCTACACTGAAATATTTTTTGAAAGGCGGTGGGAAAATTCTTAAATAATTCGCTTTGTCTTTGTTGTTCTTATACAGCTTACTGTGATTTTTTTTTTTTTTGAAATCACATTAATGCAATGCTTTTATATTTGCACAATTAATAATGTTTTAACAATTGATACTGATGTCTGATTTTCTCTACTTTTAATAAAATGGTAATTCTGTTTTTATTTATGTTTTCTTTAGCCAGAATAAAGGGTAGTCATGGCGTAGTATTAAAGTTATAATAATGAAGTCACATTTTATGATCCTCATCAGTTCGCCTGACTAAAAGTGTGCTTTTATGGATGTGCTTTTATCAATGTAATCTACATAAATATTATTAAATGCATATAAAGGAAAACATGTATGTTCTAGCATTAGTTGTTAGGC